TGTCCAACCTGTGGGCCGTGGCCCAGTACTGGCCTGTGGCCTGTTGGGCACCGGGCCGAGGGAATGGCTGGCAAGTACGCGCATGTGTGGGTGCATGCACTCCCCCACTCGTGCTAGTGCTGCCATGTGGGCGCTAGCAGCCCTGTTTATGCATGTGTGCAAGCACTAGTAGCCTGTTTGCACACATGCATGGACACTAATGGTCCGACTGTGCCTGCCGCCACAGGCGCATGCTGCGTGTATATACGCACAGGTCCTAGCGCCACCACCGTGTGTGCGCCCGTTTGCGTATGCATGCATGTGTGTGTGCGCACATTTCTCTGCTCCTCCCTTTCCCTCTGGGCCACCAATGCGGAAAGTTTGGGAACTCTGGACTAGATGACTTATAAGGTCCCTTCCAACTCTGTTATTCTGTATGGTTACTCTAATACCGTGGTGGCGAACCTATGGCACATGTGCCACAGGTGGCACGCAGAGCCCTCTCTGTGGGCACGTGCGCCATCGCCCTAGTCCTAGGCCTTCAGCTGGGTTTTATAAAACCTTTTCACTTTAGGCTTCCACCGCCTGTGTGCAAAAAACAAAAACAAAGGTTCAATCAATCAATTTCAACTTCTGGGGGGGGGGAGATCTTGCAAAGTTGGACTTGATTGATTGAACTTTTTAGTCCCACCCAGTCTGCCGTTAGCACCACAGCCATGCCCACCCAATGGGCCACACCCACCCAATGGGCCACGCCTACCCAGCACCCGACAATACATACTGTAAGTGGGTTTTGGGTTCCAGTTTGGGCACTCGGTCTCTAAAAGGTTCGCCATCACTGCTCTAATATTAACCCTAACCTTTAATAGAAGGCTCCATTCCGTTGTATTGACAGGTAGTCCTCGACATACGACTACACTTGAGCCCAAACTTTCTGTCGATAAGTGGTTGAGTTTTGCCTCTTTTTATGACTTTTCTTGCCACGGTTGTTAAGTGAATCATTGCAACTGGCTTGTCAGTAACACAGTAAGTGAATCTGGCTTCCCCATTGACCTGGTCACAAAAGAGGATCACATGACCCAGGGACACCCGCAACCGTCGTAAATGTGAACCGGTTGCCAAGCATCCAAATTTTGATCACGTGACCATAGGGATGCTGCAACGGTCCTAAGTGTGAAAAACGGTCATAAGTCGCTTTTTCAGTGCCGTTGTAACTTTGAACGTTCACTAAATGCACTGTTATAAGTCGAGGAATACCTGGACGGGTTTCCATCCTTATGAATTTTAATGTTAATATTTATCGTTTTAACGTTTTGTCATTTTTGTCCTGTTAAGCTGCCTTGAGTTTCTTCAGGCTGTGATGGGCGGTATATAAATTTAACAATAACGATAAAAATAATAGAGTTGGAGGGGGACCTTTGAGGTTTTCTAATTTATTTAATAAATAAGCTTCAAATGTGACTAGAAGGGAATCGGAATCAGAACAGAGTGGAAGGGACCTTGGAGGTCTTCTAGTCCAGCCCCCTGCTCAAGCAGGAGTTCCTATGCCATTTCAGACAAGTGGCTGTCCAGTCTCTTCTTAAAAACCTCCAGTGATGAAGCACCCACCACTTCTGGTGGCAAGCCGTTCCACTGGTTAATAATTGTCCTCACTGTTCGGAAGTTTCTCCTTAACTCCAGGTTGCTTCTCAACAACAAAGACAACAAATAAAGGCTTTGTTGTTTCCTTTGGGATGGGATGGACCTGGACCCAGAATAAAAATGAACGGGCAAAAGAAAGGAAGACGATACAGCTGGAGGTAGCTGGCTCAAAATACAGGTCAGGCTTCATCTTACAGCAGTGGTTCTCAACCTTTTTAATGCCGCGACCCCCAACCGGCCGTAAGTCGAGGACTAAACCGGTCGTAAGTCGAGGACTAAACTGGCCGTAAGTCAAGGACTACCCAACCGGTCGTAAGTCGAGGACTTTCCCTGCCCGGGAGCGCTGCGCATGCGTGGTTCCGCCCCCTGCGCCGGCCGAGGCGTAGCTGGCAAGCGGCAGAGACGGAGCAGGCCGACCACCAGCTGGCCCAGCTCAAGGGAGGTAAGGCACCCGCCGGAAAAGGGGAAAAAAAATGGCGGACAGCCTTGCTTGGCGACCCCCGTGAAATGGTCGATCGACCCCAAATGGGGTCGCAACCCATAGGTTGAGAACCACTGTCTTACAGCCATTCATTCAGTGACTGCTTGAAGTTGCAAAAGCACTGAAAAAAGTGACATGACCAGTTTTCACACTTACAACCGTTGCAGCATCCCCAGGGTCACGTGATCAAAATTCGGGCCTTGACACCCATGTATGCATCTATTTATGACACTTGCACTGTCCCGGGGTCATGTGACTGAGCTCCATTTGCAACCTGACAAGCAAAGCCAGATTTACTTAATAACCGCACAACTCACTTAACAACTGCAGTGGTTTGCTTAACAATATGGCAAAAAAGGTCATAAAAGGCGCCACACCTCACTTATCAACTGTCTTGTTTAGCAATAGGAATCTTTTGTTATCCATCATGATTAGAAGTCAAGGACTATCTGTATACAGCCTTAAGGTACTCAGATACAGGTCTGACCGTAACACAAAACCAGCCTCTTCCCTAACACAGCCACACCTAAACACACACGGAGACACAATCAAGACAAACCCTTTATGGACCTGGTTTTCAACCTTCATCTGAACTTCAAAGAACCGAGTTCAAGTTCAAGATAACAACACGATGCCGTTAAAAAAAAACCTGTGCCAGAAAACAAGAGACTGTAAGGATAATTTCCATTATTTTTATTTTTAAAACAAAACACCCTTCAGACAGGGTGTCACGTTATTATTAATTCAGAACTGCTTTATGGTTTAATTTAGGAGCACACCCAGCTGCTCCCAGATCAAGAACATTTATAGTCGTACACATTTTAAAACTAGGCCATTGTTTCATTGAACAACAGGACAGCTGAGAAATGAAGTTCAGAGATGTTTTAAAAAACAATAATTGCATTCATGTTATCTACAGCTCGGCTCTATTTCCTGCCGAAAGGAGCAATAAATTCAAGCCTGAATCACTTCCTAGCACAGATGGATATTCTTGTTAAGGCAGCGAAGGGAAATATATATATATATATATATGTATATGTGAACATTCAAACCATGAATAAGTGAGCAAGTTTTGCTAATGAAACAGCACATTACTAATATGTTCCCCTCTCTGTATACACAGCCTTTTGCTGAGTACAGTTCCTTCGACATTACCCGTAATATTCCATATAAAAAGTCGCTTTTAACCCTTTTTAAAATATATATATATATTTCAGCCATACGATCCTGCCTACGTCTATCTATTCAATCATTGATCCACTGAAGCCAACACACTGCCTGGCGGATCCAATTCTTGCAGCGTTCAGGGGCAGCACCAGTGACAAGCATCCTGCAGAATGAACTCAATACGAGGAATTTATTGGAAAACAGGAAATCCCAATTAAATAAGCAACGACGTCCCTTCGCTGCTGTGAAGTCTCCCTGCCGTTTTTGAAATTGACCTAACTCGGGATAAAGCAACTTTCCAGCGGCCGAGTGCTACACTTTGCATTTCTTAAAAAAAAAAAAAAAAAAGAATAATACCATGGACTGAACTCAGTAAAAGCAAGGACCTGCATCAACAGAGCAAGGAGTTGAGGATTCCCCTGTGCGCTCCCCACCCACCCGCCGCCACCACCGCTCTATTTTCAAGCTTCAGGGGAAAAGTTTAAGCTTTTTAAAAAAAAAGTTTTAAGTTGAAGCTTAATTTTCTCTGCAGTTTGAATTTTCAGCAATTGGGGGGAGGTTCTGGGGATAGGAAAATGGAACATGATATACTATAAATAGAGCCTTAGCCGTCAAGCTTCTTTTTTCTGTCCGTCCGTCCATACATTCACCCACCCATCTGATCTTTCTCTTTCTCTATCCATCTTTCTGTCCATCTATCCATCCACCCATCGTTTCATTCACTCATCCATCAGATTTCTCTCCATCTATTTGTCTGTCCGTCCGTCCATCCATCCATCCATCCATCCATCCATCCATCCATCCATCCATCCATCCATCCATCATCTCTGAATCAATTTGTCTGTCTGTCTATTTACATATCTATCCATCCTTCTATCCATTCATCCATCCTTCGATCCACCCATCCGATTTCTTGTCTGTCTGTCTTGTCTGTCTGTCTATCTACATATCTATTTCCATATCTATCCATCCATCTATCCATCCATCCACCTATATTTATTTATCCATCCATCCATCCATCCAACCAGCCCAGCCATCCAAATCTATCTCTCTGTCCGTCCGTCCGTCCATCCTTCTGTCCGTCCATCCATCCATCCATCCATCCATCCATCCATCCATCCATCCATCCATCCATCCATCCATCCATCCATCCATCCATCCACCCACCCACCCACCCACCCATCCAATTTATAAGGTCATCCATCCATCCACAAAACTCTGGGCGATGAACAAAGTAAAAAAAAAAAAGAAAAAAGGAGAACTTCATTCAAACAAAAGACCAACTAAAGCTGCACTGAGGCTCAATAAAAATTCAAAACTACTAGACATACACTGAGGCCGGAGCGCCTGTATTAATGTCCCAAATCCATATCGCACAGCTTGGTCATCACAGTTGGCAACCTTGTTGCTCTTCTATTAGTGTGCCATTTTTAAAAAGACTGAAATGCTTTTAAAATTAAGGTGAAGGCATCTGGATGGGGCGGCAGCTTTTATTCAGCATGGATTCAGCACTGTCCCTTGTTGATGTAAAGCTGTCTTGCTCAACCTAAGCAACTTTAAGACGGGTAGACTTCAACTCCCACAATTCCCCAGCTAGCCATGCTGGCTGGGGAATTCTGGGAGTTGAAGTCCGCCCGTCTTAAAGTTGCCGAGGCCGAGAACCACTGCTGTAAAGTAAGACTTGAAAAGAGTCCTTTTCAACCACCAGTGACTTTAGAGCTGTTGTACTCACCCAATTAAGGAGACCATCTGTTCCACTATGTGTCTGCTGAAGGTGATTATCACAAAAAGTTTCTGGAGGAACAACAACAAAACACACACAACAGTCAGACAAATGTTCAAAGGGGAAGATGGAGCAAGGCAGGATGCCTGTTCAGTTCTTTGATTACCCTTGTGTTGATGTTCATTTCCCAAGTTCGTGTAATTATACCACATTTCCTCCAATTTCTCCCCCACTCTCTCTTTTGGTCATATCCTTTTTTTTTAAGCTCTAATCATGGTTGGTCTATTCTTTCGGTGGAGAAAGGAAGCCAGGGAAGGACATGCTCCAACACCATCTTGGACTTCGGATGATCCTTCCCAGTTCAACTGGGAACAATTGTTCCAGCCAGCTGACTTTCTGTCTTTTCTGTAAGTGGAACATAAAATTATGCTAAAATCTGAAAGGATACAAAACCCTTCCTTCCTTCCTTCCTTCCTTCCTTCCTTCCTTCCTTCCTTCCTTCCTTCCTTCCTTCCTTCGACTGGCTGGGAAACTGTCACAGAACACTGAACATGAGTATCATGTGGCTCCAGCACCAACCCAGCAGCAGCCAGCAGTGAACATATCCAACACGCTTTCCTCCCCCTATTTTCTCCCAAAAAAACAACCCTGCGAGGGCTGAGAGAGAATCAACTTTCATGCCTGAGATAGGGCTAGAACTCACCGTCTCCTAGTGGTTGGCCCAAAGTCACCCAGCCAGTTTTCATGCCTAAGGCAGAACTAGAACTCACTGCCTCGTGGTGATTGGCCCAAAGTCACCCACCTGGCTTTCATACCTAAGGTACAACTACAACTCACCATCCCCTGGTGATTGGCCCAAAGTCACCCAGCTGGCTTTTATGCCTAAGGCGGGACTAGAATTCAGAGTTTCCTGGTGATGGGCCCAAAAGTCACCCAGCCAGTTTTCATGCGTAAGGCAGAACTAGAACTCACTGTCTCCTGGTGATTGGCCCACAGTCACCCATCTGGCTTTCATACCTAAGGTACAACTACAACTCACCATCCCCTGGTGATTGGCCCAAAGTCATCCACCTGGCTTTTATGCCTAAATAGGGACTAGAATTCAGAGTTTCCTGGTGATGGGCCCAAAGTCACCCAGTCAGTTTTCATGCCTAAGGCAGAACTAGAACTCACAGTCACCTGGTGGTTGGACCAAAGTCACCCAGTTGGCTTTCACGGCTACAGCAGGACATGAACTCATAGCCGCCCACTTTCTAGCATACTAGCTTAACCACTACAACAAATTGGTGCTAAGTTAAGTTAAACTCTGTTACAAGTAAATTGAAATGCTGTAAAAATTGAAATAATAACCCTCCAATTCCGGGGGTCTCCCACCTGGTCCCCCTCCAGACTATAAATTCCCCTCAACAGTTTGCCAATTCTGGGGAATTCTCAAAATTGCAGTCTTACAGCATCTGGAAGGCACCGAGCTGGAGAAGGCTGAGGTATATATAGCATTCCCTGAGGATAATCAGACAAAAATGTTCTCTTGGAAGACAAGCTGTTCCATAGTTGTTGTTGTTTTAAACTGTCATTTATAGTGATCTATACCACTTGCGGTATAGTGGGGGACCGTTCCCAGACGGCTCAACATTGGTTAAATCTTGTATTTGTCATATAAATGCGAGGCCTGGTTTCCCATTTTTCAACCAATCTGGAACTGTGTGTCTCTTTTTTCAAGAACACTGTGCTACAGCATCCCAAACGTGCACAACTCTGTATCTTTGCAAGCGTGCGTGTTTGCTAACACAGCAGAGGATCTGACAGAATTTAGCAGCTGTAGGAGATACAAAATCAAATTCCCTCACTCCTTGTGCCAAACAGAAAGCAGCTACTATAAAACATCCCATTTTATGTTACGATCACTTGATTTTTTTAACTTGCACCCCAAAAGCAAGTCCAGAATGAATGGTGACCTCTTTTCCTGAAAGTGCAGTTTCCCCCAACATGATAAAATACAGGGAGTCATAATAATAATAATAATAATAATAATAATAATAATAATAATAATAATAATAATAATAATAATAATAATAATAATAATAATAATAAGAAGAAGAAGAAGAAGAAGAAGAAGAAGAAGAAGAAGAAGAAGAAGAAGAAGAAGAAGAAGAAGAAGAAGAAGAAGAAGAAAGTTGGAAGGTACCTTGGAGGTCATCTAGCCCAACCCCCTGCTCAGGCAGGAAACCCTATACCAGGGGTAGGCAACCTTGGCTCTTTTATGACTCGTGGACTTCAACTCCCAGAATTCCTGAGCCACCATGGCTCAGCATGGCAACCTCTCCCTTTCTCCTCAGCATGGCTGGCTCAGGAATTCTGGGAGTTGAAGTCCATGAGTCATAAAAGAGCCAAGGTTGCCTACCCCTGCCCTATACCATTTCAGACAAATGGCTGTCCAGTCTCTTCTTAAAAATCTCCAGTGATGGAGCATCCTTGACATACAACAGTTCATTTAGTGACCATTCCAAGTTACAACAGCACTGAAAAAAGTGACTTACGACCGTTTTTCACACTTAGGACCGTTCCAGCCTCCCCAGGGTCATGTGATCAAAACTGAGACGCCTGGCAACTGCCTCATATTTATGACGGTTGCAATGTCCCGGAGTCATGTGATCCCCTTTTGCAACCTTCTGACAAGCAAAGTCAATGGGGAAGCCAGATTCACTTAACAAGTGTGTTACTAACAACTGCGGTGATTCACTTAACAACGGTGGCAAGAAAGGTCGTAAAATGGGGCAAAACTCACTTATCTGATTTAACAATAGAAATTTTGGGCTCAATTGTAGTTATTAAGTCAAGGAGTACCTGTACTGTAACAGGTAGTCCTTGACTTACGACCACAACTTCTGTTTTGAAGGAAGTTAAGTGAGGCATGGCCAATTTTTACACCTTTTTTGCCGTGTTTGTTAAGAGTATCCTTGTCAAGCACAGAAAATCAGGATTCCGGGCAGTTCAAATGAATGTACAGGTAGTTCTCAACTTACGACCACAACGGGTCTGGATGGGGAGGAACAGACTCAGGCTCAACCCTTCCAAGACCGAGTGGCTGTGGCTGCCGGCGCCTCGGCATAGTCAGCTGACTCCATCGCTGACTATAGGGGGCGAAATTTTGGCCCCCTCAGAGAAGGCCCGCAACTTGGGAGTCCTCCTGGATCCACGGCTGACATTGGAAGACCATCTGTCGGCCGTG